GATTTAAATATATTAACACAAAAGAACATGCTCAATGAGGAATGTAACAAAACGTCATCTTTGATCAAGCCATTGAGCCTCTAACTCCAACCGAATAACATGTTCAACCAAATGAAATAGATAAGAATGTACGAGTTCTAAAAAAAAATTAAACGGACTCCAGGAGTCACACCATATAATATCGATTTAACAGCGACAAAACATCCAGCAATGTACAACACAATTTTGAACCCTTAATCCATCACATTGGAAACGAGAAGAGGAGGAAATCACGTAGAAGGGTGTTTACCTTTTTGAGGCAGTGAACAAGGAGAGACGAACTTCCACACGTGAACCACGAACAGAGACTGAACACCAATCCGATGTTCCGTCGATGAATAGCGAAGAACGAAAGAACTTTCCCAAGACTTGAATTGTTCTTCGTATCCGAATGCTACTCCGGAAAATCCAAGTATATATATTGATAGGATTTCAGCTAGAACCAACAACAAAAAAACGACAACAGCCAAAGCTTTTTTTTCGAAAATTTCTAAACCAGTTTTCTCAGCCAACAAAATCCAACCACAGACAGAAGAAGAAACAGAGTATTTTCGAATGAAAATTTCAATCCAAATCATCCCAACTTCTGAAAATTTATCAACCAAGAAAATGCTAACCCCCTATTCAGTCTAGGGTGGGGGGTTTATATAGAGAGGACGAAAACTAGGGTTTCCCCTTTGGATGGTGGGAAAACGAATTCGAAATTTGAAATCTCTTTCATTAAACAGAGCAACATCTTTTTCCCGAGATTCGACCCCATTCTGAAAAAGAAAGGGGAGAATGGATGCTCTCGATAAAACTCTTGTCCCATAGATACCATGTGGCATCATCTCGCCATCTCAAGGACGAGCACACGAGCCTACTCTCGCTGAAAAGCACTGCGCCAGCAGAATAAGGCAGAGAGGAGACTTCGGGAGAGAGAGGGGAGAGGGAGGAAGAGAGCGAAGGGGAGAGAGCGAGTGGGGAGGGTCGCATTTCCATTTTTGGGGCCTGTTTCCTCTGCATTTTTTTCTGGGTTTCTTGGTTCTTTTCTGGGGATGGCGTAAAGGGGGGAGAAAGAAGTGGGAGAGAAGCGGATTTGGGGAATGGGTCAAGGTATTGGGCTGGATCAGGTAGGCGTTGGGTTTGAATTGAGTTGGGTGGAGGGGAATTAATTTGGAAATGAGGTGGGCTAAAAATAAACAAAAGGGAAATGGGTTGTTGGGTTTAAAAGCTGAAAGAGGGAGAAACGGGTCTGGGAATACTATTTTGGGTTATCTTAAATTGGTGGGGGTAAAAGGAATTGGGTCTTTAATCTGAATATGAGAAGAGAGTAGAAGGGAATGGGCTTGGGCTGCTGAAAAATAGTGAGCTAGGAGTAATATTTAAAATGGGCGTGGGAATTAGAGAGAATTTCTGTGAACGGCCCAAACTAAATTAATCTAAGTTAAGTATAGGTTGGTCTAATGAATATACAAGTTTGGCCAAACCTAAAACAAAAATGAATTCGTATCGATTAATCAACGAGATTCCTTATCTGATAATTATAAAATCGTAAAAGTGATTTAAAATATAATTATAAATTAAACTAAGACTAGTTTAATAAAACATTTAAATGTAATTTTGATGATTTTTTTTAATAATCATAAGATATACTACTTATATACATAATTATATAAAAATATATCACCGAAAATTATGTCAAAGCGTATTCGAAGTAACACAAAATTCATGTGTTATATATATTTTTTAACTTATATATATATATATATATACATATATATTTTATTTTCTATTTTTTAATTTTTGCAAGATTTATAAAACTAATTAACTTAAATAATTTGAAAAACTCCTGAGGCTCGATAATTAATTTATAGAAGCGCGGGTTAAAATTTGTTTGTCAACAACTGTCCCTCATTTTACTTGGGTTGATACAAGCAACTTGAGGAAAACGAAATTGACCAGACCAATTTTGACTAACTCCATTCATTGTAAAAAGAAGGATTCGACAAAGGGTCAAGGAATTATGGCCGAACCCTTGCAAACGGGTTTCCTACATATCTCAGGCTACATGAGAATTCAGGCCAGTTGTAGTTCGATAAGCTTGATTTACCGCACGATTTGAAAGAAATAGAAGCCACCTTGACACCGAACTATGAAGGTGCCGAGATGCTCGAGAATAGAAGTAGAGAGCGAAATGTTGGAATACAGCTCAGTTTTCGACATTGAATCTGCCTACATATCCTTAGACCTCGGAATCAGGCTGTGTATAGTTCTACTCAATCAATGGAAAAGGAAACCTATTATGTTAGATAGCCTTCGGTTTTGGACAAGTGACCAGTTAAACGAGTATGAAAAAGAATCTTGTAACCTCTTAACCGTGAATGTGGTGCGTTTCACACCCATAATTAAGAGCTTACACGGATATGACTTCCAAGGCTCTTGGCGAGTTGTCAATCAGATTGGGAACTTGCTTCCGATAAATCGCTACTTCCGGATGCGAGACTGAAACTGACAGAAGTTAAGAAAGACCGACATGCCTCGAGAGGGTGGTTCGATTGTGGTGGAAGTCGCTCCTTTGCTCGCGTCCTAAGAGTTTGACATTCCTCTTCGGACTATGTCCGAGTTTGCTGCTAAGAAAAATTTCCACGTTGTGCTGTATCCTTTTTGATGTCGTCCGCACCTGTGGTTTTTGGAGAATTCATCCTTTTCGGATGCTTTCGACAAAGACTGAGATAAAACTCTCCAGCTTAAAAAAATGCAATTAGGGTGGGAGATAGTGTCTTTTTATCATGTCGACACCACATTAGTCTCCTCAATATTCGACATCGACTCGATCAGTCTGACGTCCAGCAAATAAAGCTTATGCCTTGTGCTTTGTGAATAAATCTTCAGTGTACTCTTCATTTGATGCTAAAATAAATAAAAAAATGTTGATGCGATATAGATGTCTCTTTTGTCGTCATCTTCGATGCTCTTCTTGACATGTATTTTTCATCAAAATAAAAGATGCATGTTGAGGCCGATGGATAAATATTGCTCTTTGTTTATCCGTGTATGTCCTCTTGCGGGGAATGAATATCTTCCCGCGGTACGTAAATTCCCGCGAGACATGAATCTTCTCGTGATGCATAACTTTCAGCCAGAAATGAAATCTCCTCGCGATGTGCTGATTTTGACGGGACATGAATTTTTCTCGTCGTGCATAATTGTTGACTCGCAATGGATAATTTTTGCAATGCATGACTTTTCTGCGATGCATGATTTTCAACGAGGCATGGATCCTTCTCGCGATGTATAAATTTTGACGAGGCATGAATCCTTGTCGTCGTGCATAATTGTGAACTCGCAATGCATGATTTTGCGATGCATTATTTTCAATGAGGCATGGATCATTCTTGTGATGCACAAAATCCAGCGAGGTATAAATTCTTCTTGCGATGTATAAATTTTGATGAGGCATGAATCCTTCTAATCGTGCATAATTGTGAACTCGCAATGCATGATTTTGCGATGCATGATTTCTGCGATGCATCATTTTCCGCGATGCATCATTTTCCACAATGCACGATTTCTGCAATGCATGATTTTTGCGATGCATGATTTTTGCGATGCATGTTTTTCCGCAATGCATGACTTCCGCAATGCATGATTCCGCGATGCATGATTCTTCAATGCATGATTCCGTGATGCATGATTCTGCGATGCATGATTCCGCGATGCATGATTTCGCGATGCATGAATATTTATATCGCCCCCGTGTATAGTAACGTCAAGACAATCTCCAAATAATATATCGATTTGAATGATAATTGGAAAATAATAATAGCATAAGCATATCTTCTGAGGTAATACATTGTCTTGATCGACAATAATTATCTTGCTTTGATAACGCAATGCAAATAGCGTCTTTTACAGATATCGTGAAATCTTTGCCAAGATTTCTGTTTGTTTCACCATTGAATCTAGCTAGACACTTTGCAAATATCCTATTGTTGAGAATGGTTTGAAATAAACAAATACATTCACAAGCATCTTGACACAAACTATATGAATTGCCTCCGACTCTCAGTAAGATCACTGATTTTGGAGATAGTTTTCTCCTCTTCGGGAGCTCTCCGTATTCATCCGTCGGTCTAATTTGGCCGACTTCAAAGCAAATCTATAAACCTGTATCCATAGAAAAATTATCAGTTTTAAAACATACTGATCTGTGTCGATTTCCTCAGTTGTTTTCTCGTCGTCTCGGTATCTCCAGTTGTTTTGCCGATTTCCCGACTCTTGATAGAATAGAAAATATATCTTACGCCAAAACAAATGAAACATAAGAGGGAAAATTTTTAAAAGAAATGAGAAATCATTAAGAAATAGTATGTTGAAAAAGTCGGTGCCAAGTTATGTCATATCAGGCTTTGCGAGCTCTTTTGAATCTGACACTTGCTGATGAGTTTCAGAGGCGTTCCAGACTTCTAGGGAAGACCCATGACGAAATTTTGAGGTCATCCTCAAAATTTTTGTCCCAATTTACTATCTTGCTCATCTTTTCATTGTAACCGAACAGATCGCGGAATTTTGAGATCTTCTCAAAATTCTGTCCCAGTCGCAAATCTCGAAATGTCTTTTGTCTAACTTGCTGAAGAGGAGACTTCTTTTGAAGAATTTTTGAGTCTCTCCCAAAAATTCTATCCCAGTTTCTATTATAAAGAAGAATAAAAATCTTGCGAGCGATATGACCGAACCCTTGTGGCGCCTACGTATCCTGTTGAGGCAGGAATAAGGTCAAACGTAGTTCCCCTTAAAGGTTAACAAGAATAAATTTACAAAGAAATCGACCGAAGCAGACATAGGCCGCCTATGTATCTCATTCTTGAGAATTCAGGTCAGACGTAGTTCGTTACAAGAGGGATTATAATTCAAATTCGAACAAACATAAGCAAACAAAACGATTACAAGTAAACGATAGAAAAATGTTAAGCGAAACTTCACGCGTAGTATCTCTTGACAGCATCTGAGTTGATAGGCTTGCGCCATATGGTGCCATCCATCTCGGACAGGACCAAAGCACCTCCATATTGTACTTTACGAACCATGTAGGGACCTTTCCAGTTTGGTGCGAACTTTCCTTTGTACTCGTCTCGATGAGGAAAAATACTCTTAAGAACCAACTGACCAACTTCAAAATTTCTGGCTCTTACTCTTTTGTAAAAAGCGCGAGTTATTATTTGTCTATACAACTATCCATGGCAAACAGTGACCATCCTCTTCTCATCAATCAAATCTAGTTCATCAATCCGTTTGCTAACCCACTCGGCGTTACTCAATTTGGCTTCTTGGATGATCCTCAATGACAGTATCTCGACTTCAACAGGTACGACTTCCTCTGTTCCATATACTAGCAAGTATGGGGTAGCCCCAGTCGATGTTCTGACCATTGTTCGATAACCTAGCAGAGCATATGGCAACATTTCATGCCAACCTCGCTGTTTGTCAATTATTTTCCTCATGATCTTCTTGATATTCTTGTTGGCGGCCTCTACAGCTCCGTTCATTTGAGGGCGATAAGCAATTGACCTCTGGTGAATAATCTTAAATTCTTCACATATCTCTTTCATCAGATGACTGTTGAGATTTGCACCGTTATCAGTGATGATGGATTCTGGAAATCCAAATCGGCATATCAGATTGTTGCGGACAAAGTCAGCCACCACTTTCTTGGTTACCGATTTGTAAGAGGCTGCTTCAACCCACTTGGTGAAATAATCAATGGCAACCAAAATGAATCTGTGTCCATTAGAAGCGGCTGGCTCTATAGGACCGATGACATCCATTCCCCAAGATACAAATTGCCAAGGTGAACTCATAGCATAAAGTTCGTGAGGCGCCACCCATATCAAATCGCCGTGCACTTGACATTTGTGGCATTTTTGCACTAATTTGCAACACTCATTCTCCATAGTAATCCAGAAATAACCAGCTCGAAGAACCTTTCTTGCCAAGGTAAGTCCGTTCATGTGTGTACCGCAAAATCCAGCATCTATCTGCTCAATAAGCGTCACAGCTTCGGCAGCATCTACACTTCTTAAAATACCCAAATATGGAGTCCACCTATACAGGACTTTTCCATGCAAGAAGAAATTGAGATCCATACGACGTATCGGTTTCTTCTGTCTAGATGTAGCGTCTTCTGGATATGCCCCAGACTCCAAATATCTCATTATGTCAAAATACCAAGGCAAACCATCTGGTTCTGATTCAACGTGTGAACAATGGACTAGATTTTCCTGCAAGTCTATATCCAGTGGGTCGATGTAATCAGTATCCGGATGTTTGATCATTGAAGTGATGGTGGGAAGAGCGTCAGCTAATTCATTCTGTATTCTGGGAGTATATATGAACTCGATCTTGCGGAACCTTTTGCACAGATTTTGCACGTACTGTACATAAGGTATGATTTTTGGGTTGTTCACAGCCCATTCTCCTTGAACTTTATGAATCAAGAGATCTGAATCTCCAATAACCAGTAATTCGTAAACATTCATGTCGATGGCCATTTTTAAACCAAGAATGCAAGCTTCGTACTCAGCCATGTTGTTTGTGCAGTTGAATCGCAGTTTGGCTGCCATAGGATAGTGCTGACCAGTTTTTGATACCAAGACTGCTCCAACAACTTTACCCTGGTGATTCGCCGCTCCATCAAAGAATAATCTCCAACCTGGGTACGCTTCAGAAATATCTTCACCCACAAATGACACTTCTTCATCGTGAAAATATGTATTGAGAGGTTCATATTCTTCGTCAACGGGATTTTCCGCAAGATGAATAGCAAAAGCTTGTGCCTTTATCGCCTTCTGAGTCACATACACGATATCGAACTCACTCAACAACATTTGCCATTTAGCTAACTTCCTGGTCGGCATCGCTTTCTGTAAAATATACTTCAATGGATCCGTTCTAGAGATAAGATATGTAGTGTACGACGAAAAATAGTGTCTCAGCTTCTGGGCAAGCAACGTCAGAGAACATCATGTTCTCTCCAGCAAAGTGTAGTGATACTTGTACGGAGTAAATTTCTTGCTTATGTAGTAGATAGCCGTCTCCTTCTTCCTGTCTCATCGTGTTTACCAAGTACACATCCAAAGGTGTTATCTGAAACAGACAAATATAGCAACAAAGGACTCCCTTCTCGCAGAGGAACCAATACTGGTCGGTTAGACAAATAGCTCTAGATGGCATCGAAAGCGGTCTGGCACTCCTCAGTCCACTTAGTCGTGGCATCTTTCTTCAACAACATGAAAATAGGCTCACACACTACTGTTGATTGTGTTATAAACTGGCTGATATAGTTCAGCCTCCCCAAGAAACTCATCACTTCTTTTCTCATTTTCGGTGGAGATAACTCTTGAATTGCCTTAATCTTGCAAGGGTCGAGCTCAATACCTCTTCTGCTGACTATAAACCCTAACAACTTCCCAGCTGGGACTCCAAAAGCACATTTGGCGGGGTTTAGTTTCAAGTTGTACCAACGCAAACGTTTAAAGAATTTTTTCAGGTGCGTCGAATGATCCGAACTCTCGCGGGATTTGATTATGATGTCGTCCACATACACTTCAATTTCCTTGTGAATCATGTCATTAAAGATAGTTGTCATGGCTCTCATGTAAGTGGCACCGGCGTTTTTGAGGCCGAACGGCATTACCCTGTAGTGATATACCCCCCAAGGTGTGATGAAGACAGTTTTTTCTGCGTGTTCTTCGTCCATCAAAGTTTGGTGATAACCTGCGTAACAGTCCACATATGACTGCATCTCATGCTTGGCACAGTTGTCAATCAAAATATTGATATTCGGAAATGGAAAATTATCCTTTGGACTAGCCTTGTTGAGATCTCTATAATCAACACAAATCCTGATTGTTCCATCTTTCTTGGCGACCAGAACGACATTTGCCAACCATGTTTGATATTGTGTTACTTCCACCAAGCGAGACTCTATCTGCTTGGTGATTTCCTCCTTAATCTTCAAACTCAATTCAGGCTTGAATTTTCGAGTCTTTTGTTTCACCGATTCGAAACCCTGGGTTGATAGGCAGCTTATGAGATACCACATCGGTACTCAACCCTTTCATGTCAACGACATCTCAAACAAACACATCACTGCGTTCCGCAAGCAGATTAACCAGGCTCTCCTTCTGAATTTCATTCAAGTGGGTGCTGATCTTAACCTCTTTGACACGTTCCGAATCTCCCAAATTCACTATTTTTGTCTCCTCCAGATTAGGTTTATGTTGATTCTCGAACTGTCGAAATTCTTCTGCTACATAATCTGGTTCCCCACTTTTTTCGTCGTAGTCGTCGACCTCGTTGTCATTTACCTCATTTTGCTCATTTAGCTCATGACATGACATTACATTGGCAGGTTTATAACTTACATTACTGAAACCATAAATAGACAAAATTAGGATTGTAAAATATAACAAGCAAATTAATAAACAAAGTCAAAATAAGGAGGCTTTAATTTAAATAAAAAAAATGCGAACTTGGGTCATGGCACAAGGCCAGGTCGATTTTCAAAAATCACAACAAAATTCAAAATCGAGAACAATGCAGAAATGATGGGTCTCGGGCCTCTTCAGGATGACCACCGATTTTACGATGCATAAAATAATTCCTTTCTACCCAAGAGTCCGGGACATCAGGATTAGCGTGGAAGTCGAATTCTACAGCATCTCCCCTGGTTCCGCATCGCGAATGCCAGCTTGCTCGACCTCCTCCTCAATAACAGCGTTAATCTCCCTGAAAAGGCCACAGATTCCTTCCCCGTTGTCTTCAGGCTCGACATGCTCCCGAACTGGGAATGATTGATAGAGAGGCAGGATCGACTTAGTAAACTCTTGGTCCTTTTTCCTCTTTATCTTCAAATCATCATCTGTGGGGATGTACCCCAAACAATACTTTGATCCTGTAGCAAGGACCGGAACTGGCTCGATGATCCCTTGTGCATTCCTTCCTAATCCGAAACCTGGTTCAAATCTGCTCTGCAGCATCACCGTGGTGATCATTCTGTACACGGCCGGCATGGGAGTCTGTGGGGCCAAGCCCTCATCGGTGGCATTTACCAACTCCATCGTGTAAAAATCCGACCTTTGCAGCGTTTCATCTAAGACCGACATCTGCTTACCTGAGTGGCCCTTTTCACTGTGAATAACCAGTTTTTCATTTTTCCACACCAGTTTCATCATTAGGTGGAGAGTGGAGGGGACGGCTTCAGCCATGTGAATGAATGGCCTTCCCAAAAGAAGGTTATAGCTGGTGTCGATATCCAACACCTGGAACTTTGCCTCGATATCTGTGAGGCCCATTTCGATGGTCAAGTTCACCGCTCCCAACATCACTCTCTGCACGCCATCGAATGCTCTCACATTGACCTGGTTTTGCTCTAACTTTCCAAGGTAAAACCTCAGCTGCTTCAGTGTGGACAAGGGGCATATGTTCAGGCCAGAGCCATCCTCTACCAAAACACGGTTGACGATATTTCCACGGCATACCACGGTGATGTGTAGAGCTCTGTTGTGGGCCCTCCCTTAGGCCGGCAGTTCATCATTGCAGAAACTGATGCGGTGTCCCCGAATGACTTGGTGAATCATAGAAGCTACATTGTAGCTGCTTGTACCTGAGGGCACATATGTGTCATCCAGGGCTTTCATCAAAGCCTTTCTTTGGGACCAGGAGATCATCAATAGGGCCCACACGGAAATCTAGGCTGGAGTCTTCTCCAAGTGCTTCACAATGGAGTAGTCTTTGGGTTGCATTCTTCTCCAGAACTCCTCAGCTTCTGCTTCGTTGATCGGTCTCTTGGCATGATCTTTCTTTTGTCCTCTGAGAGCAAGCTTGTCAGGAGTGTAACATCTGCAAGATCTAGTCATGCCTTGATCCACGACCGTTTGTATAACAAACTTGGGCTTGGCGAGAGTCTTTGCTGGCACCAAGGCAACAGCCTTTGCAGGTGTCAGAATGACAAACTCTCTCTTTTCCCTGACGCTCAAAGAAGCGAAAGCCTTTTCCAAGTCTTCCTGAATAACAGGAGTAATTCTCTTGGCTTCACGCTCATCTTCGTCAGTTTCTATCATGTTGATGTTCCCACCCCCATGATTTGGCAACGGGTTCGTGTTGACGTTTGGCACCGCAGGCTGAAGGGAGACCACTTCCTGGTCAATCAAGTCTTGGATCTTGTGCTTAAGATTGATAAAGTCTTCTGTATCATGTCCAACACTATTGGAATGATAAGCACATCTCTGCTCCAGTCTGTAGAATCTGGAATCGACATCCACGGGCTTTGGCCCCACAGGGTGGATGTATCCGGTCGCGGATAATCTTTTGAACAATTTAGTTCTGCTTTCAGCCAACGCGGTGAAGCATCTGGAGGGCTTCTTCTCAAACCTGGGGCGAGGGGGATCATACCCGCTCTGTTGAGGGGGATGGACTTGTTGGTAATTGCGGGCGTTTGGTCGTGGAGATTGGGTTCTGGGGTAGGGATTTGTTTGACAGTTTAGCATTGGGGCTTGGTAATTTGGATGGGGGCTTAGATATGCTGGGGTTTGTATTTGATATGAAGGGGACAGTGCTCGATAGCTTGGTTGTACATTAGCGCAGCTGGGAGCAACATTCTTGTAATGGGGAGGGACTTGATAAGCTTTGGGGTAGTTTTGATATATAGAGGGAAAATTTTGGGGAATCGATGGTGGATTCTGATACGACAAAATATGGGCATCTTGATAAGAGGGGAAGCATTGTAGTGGCCGAAATGATTTGATTGTGGACGGTAGGCTTGATGAGGCTTTGATGGAGGGTTGGATCGACCTTGGGGACGTGGTAAGGTTTTGGGGGCCTTTCTTCCCCCGTGTGAGATAGCATTAACCTCCTCTCTTTTCTTCCTTACCAGTCCGGAAGACCCAGGTAATGCAGACACTCGGGCTATCTTTCCCGACTTCAGGCCATCTTCGATAGTCTCACCTACTTTGACTATCTCGGCGAACTTTGCGCCGATTAATATGATTACTCTATCATAATACTCGGGCTCCTGCACCCGCATGAACACCTCTACGATCTTTTTCTTTGTTATCGGAGGCCTCACCCTCGCTGCCTCTTTCCTCCACCTGTACACGAACTCTCGATAGGTTTCTGTGGGCTTCTGTTTCATCTTCTCCAAGGAGTACCGATCAGAGACTATCTCGACGTTGTATGCGAATCTGTCGATGAAATCCTTAGCCAGTGCGCTCCAACTGGGCCATTCTTGAGTCTCATGTGACGTGAACCACTCTAGGGCCTCACCGCACTGGCTTTGGCTGAACAACCTCATCAGCAACGCTTTATCTTTGCCAACTCCCACGAGTTGGTCACAGTACGCTCTTAGGTGTGCCATGGGGTTCCCCACCCCTCCGAAGGTATCAAACTTCGGGATCTTAAAGCCTTCAGGTAGGTTCAAGTCTTGGTGGATGCATAGTTCTGCGTAGCTTAACCTGGCGACGTCTGGAGTACATTGCAATTCTCTCATTGCCCTCTTGATCTCCTCATTTATTTCTACCTTCGCTTCTTCCCTCGCCCTCCACTCTCTTTCTTGCTCCTCGTAATGGTCCAACTCGGAGCCGTGCACCTCATGCTCGGCCGGGACGGGGACTTGGGATGTGGTTCTTTTGGGGAGGGGTGGAGCTATGGAAGGGCTTGGGACATTTTGTGCGGTTTGATAGTTTTGTGGATAATTTTGGGGATCGGTATTTTGGTTTAAGTGGGGATGCATTGTTTGGGAATTGAAGGAGGTGGGATTTTGGGTTTCATTTTGGGGTAGTGGGGTTGTTCGAGTATTTTGGGGATGTGGTGGCATTTGTGGAGGATTGTTTGGAAGTGGGGAGGGAGTTTGATAGGAGACAGACGCATATTGGGGGTTTTAGGTTGTCATATATACCCCAGATGGGTTGTGCACGGGTGTCGATGGACGGTGCTGAGTAGGATCCGAATTGGACGAGGGGAAATATGTAGGAGGTCTCGCGTCGAGAAAGTTTGGGCCCAATTCGGGCGGAGGAGTGTCTTGCCTCCGTTGCATCTCTACTCTCATGTCAGCTATTTGCTGCATCAGCTGCGCAATAAGCTTATTCTGCTCTACCACGGTGGGCTGAGCCACCAAGACATCTGTGAGGCTGACTTGTTCATTGTTGTCGCCCATGTCTATATTTGAGTTTTGTCCGGGGAAAGAATCTGCGGGACATTTTGATCTGGTGAAATAGGGGTGATCTGCCAACTTTATCGACATAGATTAGTAAAAAGTACCTGAGAGGTGAAAACAACTCAAAGGCAAATTTGTTAGTGCATATCCGGAGTACAAAATGCATAATATCTCACATAAAATAGATAAACACATAAGTAGCTTTGTTTGAGGATATCTTAACCCACGAATGAGGACGGAAATATATTCTGACCAAACAAGAATTTGTTTGTTTAGCGCTATCTAGAGAAAGTTGAATCATGTTGAGCTATGGTTTTCTTGCAGCTGCTTTTCGATGTCCGTTGATTGAATCTTCGTATCTCCGAAACATGGAGGAGAATGAAAATTTTCTGTGATAGGGGCCGGGCCGGGAAGGCTGCCTACGTATCTCGCAAAGAGAATTGAGGCTTAACGTAGTTCGGGTACAAGGGTGAAATCCTTTCATTCACTCTTTCATTGTGATTACAAGGGAATTGAAAAACAACATTGAAATTCCTAGAAGACAACATTTTGGCAATTTCCCGTCTTGTGGCCGCGTCATTCTTTTCCATTCAAACAGTCTGAAATGGAGGCTTATAGACAATTTTCTCCTCATCGTCCTCCTCGATTACTTCACGGTCAGGGCCACTGTTATCTGCTCCCTGATCACGGACGAGGTATTTTCCTCCCTTTAAGTTTGTATGGGTCGCCAATTCTTCATCGAGTGCCGCACTTCAGGCCAACAATACGGCGTATCAATATCTATCTTTGCTTCTCTCGCCTTTCCTTCGTGTATCTCCAAACGAAGAAAGTTCAACCTTTTCTTAAGGCCTTCGGTTTCCATCTGAACCTCCTTCTTTCTTTTTATCTGCGACACCAGATCTTCATCCAAGGTCGTGACCGCAGCTTTGTAGATCGTCGTGGTTATGTTTACTTTACGTCCTTCCTCTTTAATCTTCTGAATTTCTCGAGTGACTCGCTCGATTTTTATTCGCACTTCCTTGTTAGTGAGCTCCGTCTGGACGTTCTTACCTTTGTCCATAGCGGTGATTCACCTTTCCTAAGACGATAGAGCGGTATTCAGGATTTGTGGTATGGAAGATGGATTTTTGGGTGAGAAACTTGAGACTTGGGAATTTTTGTAGGAGATTTGTAACGGTGCCTTCTGTATACTCTTTGGTATTTTGGCTAGGAGTGGGTTTACGATATCCTCATTCAAAGCAACATAACACATAAGCATTTAAATACACACAGATAACTTGTCCTAATCATGCATGGGGACCCTGTTTGTGCCTAGGGTGGGCCTAACACATTCGAATGATGTCCGTGTGAGTTTAAACCAATTAAATGATTCCCCCCAAAATAATGTTTAACAATGAGGAAAATGTTCGAAAAGAGAAATAGACAAACCCACGCAGGGGCTATTTAGAAAGTGCGATAACATCAGGCCCACGCAGCGGCTAAAATAATGCGAATACAAACAAAGAAAAACCAGCGCAGGGGCGATGTCCACTATGCTGCTCCGTATGGTGCCACTCCATCGTCGTCTTTCCAGATTTTGTGATGTTGGAACATGTACCTCAGCATCAGCAAAAACCCCTCACCCAGACGACCTTTGTCTTCTAGACTCTCATATCGCATCCTCTCGATTTTCTGCTGGATCCAGCTGTCGAACTCATCATACCCTTGCTTCAGTCTCTCGATCTTTCGAGTTTCCCTCTTGAGTCCGTCTTGATTCTCTACAAATTTGGCATAGACCTAATTAGCCTCTTCCTTTAGCTCTCGCAATTTGGCCACTGCTTTGGCCTCCTTGTCTGTTACACTGCGAAAGCTACGCGGAATTTGAAAGGAGATATTTGGAAATGAGGTGGGCTAAAAATAAACAAAAGGGAAATGGGCTATTGGGTTTAAAAGCTGAAAGAGGGAGAAACGGGCCTGGGAATACTATTTTGGGTTATCTTAAATTGGTGGGGGTAAAAGGAATTGGGCCTTTAATCTGAATATAAGAAGAGAGTAGAAGGGAGTGGGCTTGGGCTGCTGAAGAATATTGAGCCTGGAGTAATATTTAAAATGGGCCTGGGGAATTAGAGAGAATTTGTGTGAACGGCCAAAACTAAATCAAGCTAAGTTAAGGATGGGTTGGTCTAATGAATATCCAAGTTTGGCCAAACCTAAAACAAAAATGAATTCGTATCGATGAATCAACGAGCTTCCTTATCTAATAATTATAAAATTGTAAAAGTGATTTAAAATATAATTATAAATTAAACTAAGACTAGTTTAATAAAACATTTAAATGTATATTTTGATGATTTTTTTTTGGAATAATCATAAGATATACTACTTATATACAAAAATATATCATCGAAAATTATGTCAAAGCGTATTCGAAGTAACATAAAATTCATGTGTTATATATTTTTAAACTTATATATATATATATATATATACATATATCTATATACATATATACATATAAATACATATATATATATATATACATATATATTTTATTTTCTATTTTTTAATTTTCGCATGATTTATAAAACTAATTAACTTAAATAATTTGAAAAACTCCTGAGGCTCGATATTTAATTTATACCAGCGCGGGTCAAAATTTGGGTGTCAACAACCCTATGCTACATCCAGCCAAAACTAAAACCAAACATTAACAACTAACTACACTAGTAAAAGAAATCAAACAAACAAAAGAAAGCTATTTGACCGAAATTGTTAACCTATTGTTGGATAGATTTTACACCTTGGATTGCCTCCCAAGTAGCACTTGATTTAATGTTGCAGAAAGACTCAGACCTTTTGATAACTCAGAATTCATCAAGATAATATCCTCAGTTACTTTTTGTACTCTCCGTATTTCCCAGATAAAGATTGTTCCTCTGTCTATTCGCTTCGAACCTAGTTCCTTCACAATTCTCAATCTCCATCACTCTATGCGAGACCACTTGCTATACTAAAAATAATCCAGAACACTTGGACTTAAGCTTTCCCTGAAATTAGGGAAAGCTAAAGTTAATTATAAGTACAAGACCTCCAACTACGAATCTCGCTTTTCAATCCTTTGATCATGGTACTTCTTTATCTTCGATTTGTGCAAGGTTGCATTTTCTGTAGGCTTTTAGGCAAAATTCATCGAGCTAATTCAAGTCATTCACAATTTGAGTTCATAGGCGCCTCAATCGAATATAAGCTTCTTCATTGCACACATGGCTTTATGATCTAGATCTACTGGCAAATGGCAAGACTTCCCATATACAAGTGGGTACGGAGACATACCTATGGGAGTCTTGCATGCTGTGCAGTAGGACCATAAAGAATCATCAATCTTCCTTGACCAATCCGTTCTATTGTGTATTCACTGTCTTTTTGAAGAGTTCTTTATCTCTATGTTGGACACTTAGACTTTCCCACTAGTTTGTGGATGATAAAGACTAGCGACATTATGGTGGATGTCATACGTCTCAAGCAATGTTTTAAACAACTTATTGCAAAAGTGGGAACCTCTATCACTGATAATTGCCCTTGGGGTGCGAAATCTAAAGAAGATATTATTCTTCAATAATGCAGTTATACTCTTGCCTTCATTTTTGGGAGCGCAATTACTCTTACCAACTACGATATGTAATTAACCGCAACAAGAATATATGTCACCCCTTATGAACTCACAAATGTCCTCATAAAAGCAATGCCTTATACATCAAATAACTTGATTAACATGATTAATTTCATAAGGAACTTTTATATCTTTCAAACCCCGCCCTCTCTTTGGCAACGGTCAAAGACTTGGGAAAATAATGTGTCTTGCTGGATATTTGGCCAAAAGTTTCCACAGTGCAAAATTTTATGCAGAGTCTGAACACCACTATGATGCCTACCAACATGTGATGAATGAAATGCCTTAAGAATACTCAACATCTCAACCTCTGGCACATAGAGACGTTTAATCCCATCAACACAACTACGGTACAAGTATGGATCATCCCAAATGAACATTTCTACATCATGTATGAACTTCTTCCTTTTGTAAGACAACTGATCCGGAGGTACCACATCGCTTGCCAAATAGTTATCAAAGTTGGCAAACCAATGAATTAGGTTATGGGAACCATCCAATACTTTTTCACATGGTAACATATCATTTATCTCACACTTGTCACCATGCTCGAGTAAAGCATAATCCTCCAATCAAAACAAGTGATCGGCGACTTGGTTTTCTCTTCCCTTGATGTATTTAAAGACAAAATCAAATTGTTGAAATAATAAAACTCATCTAATGAATTGTGGTTTTGAATCCTTTTCCATAAAATACCTCAACACCAAATGGTTTGTGTGCACTATTACCACAGTCCCAAGTAATTAAGAGCAAAATTTCTCGAATGCAAACACCATGTAAAGAATATCTTTCTCTATAACTGTGTAATTATTTTGGGATCTATTTACAGCTTTGCTTGCATAGTAAATAGGGTGATGTATCATCTCATTGCTTTTACCCAATACCACGCCAAGCGCCACACCATTAGCATCACACACAACTTCAAATG